CAGAGAACTTTGTACACTCAAAAATATAAAACATGAAATAGCTACGACATGGGAAGAAGCCAAAATCACAAATGAAACTTCTCAAGACAAAAACACCATTTATGCTGACCAAAGAAGAAGAAATCAGTCTCAATATAATAAATCTTCATAAACAGAGCGATGCATCCAAGGTAATAGCTACCAAAATTTATCTAAAACGTGATGATTCTAACAAATTTACAAAGTAGTGTGTCCAGTCAGCTATCAAATAGTTGATCAAGAAAATGTGACATTCCCTTAGGAATCCATTATGCTTCAGTCCTTGCGCCAGCCAATGCTGTGGAAAAAAGGCACTAATAGTCCCAATTAGAAAGAGTGGGCGACCTAGAAACCACCCTCTTAAGAAACCGGAGTAGTCTGGTCCCCTTCTCGAGACTAATTTAGGACCATGGAAGAAGAATGTAATGAATATTCTCTTAGCCATTCTTACATATCTTTTGTTAAACACAATAGGTGTGGTTCTGATTAAAAGACGTAAGCTGAAAAACAACCCAATCAGCAGTTTTCACAAAACACAGTTAACAGTTAGTGATTAGCCACTATTCAATTTACACCTACTAACCTATATTTTATGTTTTTTGTTGTGTTTTAAAGTGAATCAAGATACGTTTATTGGGGATACCTAATCCCATGCTCAGTTACACAATATTAATTTAGAGTAAACGTGGTCCAATCCAGTTGCCGTTGGAAACAAATTTTATGTTGTTGTTTGAAGTTTAATATGATAAGTCATTGTTAAAAATAAAGAGGTCTGTGCCAACAACGATCAAAAAGCTGTCACTGATGCCATGATTCTGCGTAGTCGAAATAATCAGTTGCGCAGAATCATGGTGTTAGTGACTGATTTCTGATCGTTGTTGAATGTAAATAAACACCCCACAAAAATTATCGCATCACTAAAAATTTTGCAAAAGTTTGAATTATTTTTTTATCTGAACCGTTTGATCGATTTGAATGTTCTTTTCTTTGGATGATAGGTTGATTCCTGAAGATTAATAATCTCTATAATTCTGTATATAAAATTTAATTTTTAAATAAATACTGGGTGTTGCCATAATATAAGTTTTTTGATAGAAAATTTGTAACACCCTGTGGAGTGTACCAGTAATAACAGCATATTGCAATTACTAGCCGACTTTAGTTTCATCTTTTCGCAAAATGTTCCTTTTTGGTTCGTTTTATTATCTCTATTTTTAGAGGAAATATGCGAAGAAACATAACACTATAACAAGAATGTTTATTAAATCTTTAACAAAACAAAATTAATTTTAAAAGCCTAATTTAAAATACAATAATTTTTAATACCGAGTGTTGCCTCCTCTCGCTGCAATTACAGCTTGCATTCGTCTTGGCATCCCTTCAAACAGGTTGTGGATATAGCCTTGATCCATATTGTTCCAAAACATAACCAATTTATTTTGAACCTCATCCAGTGTTCTACATGGAATACGATCTTGTTGAATTGCCCATCCTAAATGATCCCATACGTGTTCTATGGAATTCATATCTGGACTGCGGGCTGGCCAATTAATTACAGTGACATTAACTTCATTTAGATAATCGATGACTATTCTGGCCGTGTGTGGTCGTGCATTATCTTGCATGAATATGAAGTTCTCACCAACGAAAGGGCCATATGGGATCACATGAGGTTCCAGAATATCCCGTATGTATCGATCGGCCGTCACCGTTCCTTGATTAACTACCACTAGCTCTGTGCGTCCATGGTAGGATATTCCGCCCCATACCATAGTCGACCCGCCGCCAAAAATTTCCGTATGACTTGAGAATAACGCTCACCTGGCCTTCTATAAACTGGCATACGTCTATCTAAGGAATATAGACAAAATCTGGATTCATCAGAAAATACACAGTACATTGGACCATTCTGCAAGACCCCATTCCACGTGCTCTCTAGCAAATTGTAACCTGGCAACCCTGTGCGCCCTAGTAAGAAGTGGACCTCTTGCTGGAACCATTGCTCGCAAATTATGTTCACGAAGGCGATTCCTGACAGTTTGTAAAGATATGTTTACATTTCTAGCTGCTAGCAGGTCGTGTTGAAGCATTCGCGCAGTACAATGTCGAGTCCTTAAGGCCGTTACTCGTAAAAAACGATCATCTACACCTGTCGTAATTCTACGTCCTTGACCTTCTCTCCTAGAATATTGCCCGGTTTCTCTATAGCGCCTTACAACTCTTGAAATGGTACTTTGTTGAACCCCAATTACGTTAGCAACGTATCTTTGACTTCGTCCATCTTCAATCAGAGTAATTACTTTTACGGCCTGTTCTTCAGATAAGTGTCGTTGAACGTTCATTGTAATCCAGTTTAGTACACAGTTTAAATGTAAGTATTGTAAGAAATCACAATGAAATGTGTTGAAATGTACCGCAAAAATTTATATACCAGCAAACTGTCAATTTAAATTTGGATGATGTTACGTATAATTTTTCATTTGTCAAAGCCTACCTTTCAGTTTATTCAATATATGCATGTAAACCTTTGTAAACTACCAATATGTGAGTCTGTAAAAAGAGACTGTGATAAAAAACTGAAAATCTCCTCTAAAAATAGAGATAATAAAACGAACCAAAAAGAACATTTTACGAAAAGATGAGGCTAAAGTCGACTATTAATTGCAATACGCTGTTATTACTGGTACACCCCACAGGGTGTTACAAATTTTCTATCCAAAACCCTATATTATGGCAACACCCAGTATTCATTCAAAAAGTAAATTTTAAATACAGAATTATAGAGATTATTAATCTCCACGAATCAACCTATCATCCAAAAAGAAGAATATCCAAATCGATCAAACGGTTTAGAAAAAAAAATAACTTCAAACTTTTGCTAACATTTTAGTGATGCGATAATTTGTGTGGGGTGTGTATATTGTTAGTATCTAAAGAAAGCATGATATTTCGGTTTCAACGATCTATCAGGTATGCCTACTATCAATTTATCCAAAGTTTTAGGTTTAATAAGCGAAGATTAATTGAAAGAGCAAAAAATAAAAATGGGAACGTCAGTGCGCAAGTCATCTCTCAACTGTTAGTCGAACAATCTCCAAAAATAGTGTAAATTATCGTAAAAGAAGAAAGGGTTCAAAATACATCGCTGCTCAATTGTAAAGAATCCCGTGCATTGAGAAGCATTCATTTTCATGAAAAAGGTATTATTTTGGACGATGAAAAATATTTCACTTTAAAGTAAAAAATGAATTCACTTGCACGGCAACTGTAAGTTGTAAAGTCAACATCTCAATTCTCTCACCAACTTTAGTTTACTCAATATCTGTTTTTTGAATCTATTAGTTGAGCCGACATTTGCAGACTCAAATTAAATTTGATATTTGTTTCGTATGAATTAAAATGCAATAAATGCAAGGAATCGTAAACCAATCGACCAATTACTTGCACATTGGATTGTAAATATATTTTTTTGCGTGTTGAATAAACTTAATTCATTTTGTCATCGTAAGAAGCCGGATAAAAATCTTACAGGCGTTATCACATTAAACACCTAAAATAGTAGTTTGTGCAACAAGAGTGGATATTATAGCCATATCGCACGAAGACGAAATGTCGTCTTAGTGCGATATGGACAATCCACTCGAGTTGTACAGCATATTTTTTCTACGACCCACTAACAAAAATCTGCAAATATTAAAAATTATTTTAGGTTATTAAGATAAAATAATTTATGACTTTGATTTATTTATAAAATAAAATAAACAAAAAAAAAATCATTTCCTTTTTCTCCTTTCATATGGAAGGCAAGAACCCTGACCACAGGACCATCTACGCGTTTATTTTTTTTGCTTTAGTACTCGTAATTAAATTGACTTTATATAGTTTTATTTAAATTAACAAATTAATTATAATTATAGACGAAATAAAAATATAAATTCTATTATTTATCGATTCTTTAAAAGAATAACTCATTTTAATGTTTAATCTCAATAACTAAAAATATACTGACAATAAGTTTGACAGAATAATAGCAGTCGGTTGATCAAAATATGAACTATGATTGGTGAATTTCATTTTTTTTGCAGTGTTCTCACTACCTAGCAGTAGCATACTTTTTCGTTTTGTAATCTGTTCGTAGATAAGCTAATATCCATGTGGGTGTAGAAAAAGTAAAAATACATTCAACTTGGCAACAGCCGACAACTGAATAACAAGAAATATTTTAATCTCAGATAAGTATTTTCTTCATGGTCCCTCATGGCCAAAGAGAGAACAAAAAACCATTTTCCTTCAATTATAAAAATTTTACTTTAATAAAATAATGTTTTCGTAAAGTAGGTATACCAAATTCTGGGCTTCTGTCTGTTTGCTCGATACTTACAGTCAGCAGGGATTTAGGTGCTTTGAATTTCTTAAAAAAGGGAAAGAGTAGAAATCAAAATTTTAATACAATTTATATTAACATTTATAAAAATGTGTATTTTTAATAAAAACAAAGTATCACAGTAATAGTGGTTCTAAATTGTGGATAAGCCTAGAAATACAAAAATAAAAAAAGTACAAATTAAATAACTATTAATATAATAATTATTATTTTTATAGTAGAAAAACAAATTATACTTGAGTGCACAAGCTATCCCTAATTTTAAAATTAATTAGGTTTATATGAAAAATACATAACTAATTATAAAAATATTTGTTACTAACATTACCAGCTATTTTTCATACATTATATTTTAAAAATACCAGTTACATAAAATTTTATATTTGATATACACACATCGCAAAAATTCTTGGACCCCCTTATGTTTGTCAAAATGAGACACTATTATTAAAAGTCAAGAAGTGTGTTACATAGTACTTTTAATTTTGTTATATATCCAATACAAATTGGCTGAATTAAATTTTAACTAAACAAGAAAAAAATACAAAATAAAATGATTACTAGAATTTGAATTCTAGAAGAGCGAAATCAAAAATTCATTAATATTCGGTGTGTCCTCCCCTATTCTGTAGTAAGGTATTAACTAGCCTGTGCATGGAAACAATAAGGGTGTTAATGTAATCCATTGGTATGTTGTTCCATTTTTCTTGGGCCGCGACTATGAGTTCCTGGAGGGTGATAGGAGGATTAATTCTATTTGAGATTGCTCTTCCAACGAAATCCCACATGTGCTTAATCGGATTCATATCTGGCGAATTTGCTGGCCACGGTAATCTTTAAATATTCTGAATTTCTAGTGCATTTTGTACCCTTCTCGTGCGATGGGGCCAAGCATTGTCATCCATGAAAATAAAATTGGAAATGGGAATAAGCTGCTTACGACGACCATGCATTATGCCTCCCCAAAACATTACTGTTCCTCCTTGGTATGGAACGACTTCTTTGGCAAAAGATAGTCTTTCTGGTCGCCCTGGCCCTCTCCAAACTCTGTGTCGCCGACTATCACTAATTAAACCATATTTGGTTTCGTCCGAAAAAAGAACATTTCGCCACTGAGCTAAAAGCCAGTCTCTGTATTCCTGTGCCCACTGTAGACGAGCAGTTATATGTCTGGGAAGTAACCTGGGTACTCTTAATGATCTCCTAAATCGTAAATTAGTTCCAGCAACTTTCCGCCGTATTGTGGTACTGGAAATGAATCGACCATACGTTCTTCTAAAATGAGTTCGGATAGCTGAGACTGTTACGGTTAGATTCCGACGTACATAACCTGCTACCTTAGATAAAAGAGACCAGAGATATAACATACACCGGTTTTAAACCTGCGCAAATGTTACCAATTTCTAAAGAAGGGTTAACGGAGTGGGGGAACTGGGCGGCGACACGCGGCGACCCGATCTCTGTGACAGGGACCGGACTTTGTTTATTAGCAACTTAATGAACTATTAGGTTTATTTAAAAAGTGTTTAATCGAATTTTGTATTATGAAATCAAATTATCGTGATTTTTTAATATCAAACAGATGTCACGACATTTTATGTAAAGAGAAGACCTTTTATAGAATATTTCGTTAGCGTTTATTTACTACGGACTTTTCTGCAAGAGATTACAGTAAAATGTTGAAATAGAATATATTGTTAATAGAGCAAAAAATGTTACTCATTGTCTACGAGTATTATAAAAATAGCATGTGCACAGGCTAATACTGCAAATCTACCCTTATGAGTGGAACATTATATTTTTTCTACGGCTATTACATATTATTAAAAATTAGTCAAAATGAGAAAATGCTGTTTTGTATTGTAACCTCAGAAAAAGTATATTAAGGCTTCTTTCTTTAAGAATATTAATTATTATAAAGGATGAGTCACATAAAATTCTAGAAATGCATATGTCTGAAACCAGATAACATTTTAAAATTTAAATCTATTAAAAGTCATTTGGTCGCTAGAGATGAGTGATTATCGAAATAAATTATCGATAAATGAAAATAATCGATTATTTTCGATCAATAGATTATTTTCAAATAATATATTTTTTGTCATTTCTTTTAAAATCGACTACTTGATTATCTTTGAAAAATCAAAAATAATCGATTAATTAAAAAGCCAATTAACCGATAAATCAGTGTTTACAAAATATAATATAAATAGAATTATCGTTTATTTTAAATAATCGATTATTTTCAAATAAACCATTTTTTTTCGTCCATGGAAACAGATTATTCGATAATCTTTGAAAAATCGAAAATAATCGATTAATCAAAAATAATCAATTAATTAAAAAGTCGATTAACTGATAAATCGATTTAAAAAAAACAGAATGATCGATTATTTTAAATAATTGATTATTTTCGATCAATCGATTATTATCAATGATCTATTTTTATTGTATTTCCTTTAAAATCGTTAATTCGATTATCTTTGAAATACCGAAAATAATCGATAATTCCAAAATAATCGCCTAATCAAAAATAATCAATTAATTAAGAAGCCGATTCTATGATAAATCGATTATTACCAATAATCTATTTTATTGTATTTCAAAAATATTCGATTAATTAAAAAGTCGATTAACTGACAAATCGATTTTCAAAAAAAAACAGAATGATCGATTATTTTAAATAATCGATTATTTTCGATCAATCGATTATTATCAATAATCTATTTTTATTGTATTTCCTTTAAAATAGATAATTCGGTTATCTTTAAAATACCAAAAATAATCAATAATTCCAAAATAATCGCCTAATCGAAAATAACCAATTAATTAAGAAGCCGATTCTATGATAAATCGATTTTCCAAAAAATAAAACGAATTATTTTCTAATAATCATTTTTTCATATTTCCTTTGAAATTGATTATTCGATTATCGAAAATAATTGATTATTAAAAAGCTGATTATCCAATAAATCGATAATTTTAAAAAAATAACCACAATATCGATTATGTAAAATAACCGATTATATTCAATCGATTATTTTCATATAATATCTTTGAAAAATCGAAAATAATCAAATAATTAAAAAAACCGATTAAACGATAAATCGATAATTTTGAATAAATCTACTTTTTCTGTATTTCCTTTAAAATCGATTAATACATTATCTTAAAAAAAAAAACGAAAATAATTTATTAAAAACAGCGGATAAATCGATTTTCATTAAAAAATATCAGAATTATCGATAAATCGATTATTTTTGTAACCCCTATCGGTCGCTTGCTTTTATCTGAGCATTTAGCTCCAAAAATTTAGAGATTCGGATTTTTTGATCCAGTTATCTTTGAAATCGCATTCGCTTGTATAATAAATAAATATTGCTAAATTTTGGATTTTTTTTAGTAAACGAAAATTATGTTCGAGTTGTTTAGGGGTTTGTAATGTAACATTTTATTAACGTGACTAAGGGTCGATTCCACCGTTGTGTTAAACGAAGTTCCTGAAATAATTTAACTTAAATTAAAAGAAGGAAGTTGGAATGATACTATGGGAATTTTGGATTTATTAGTGAATGGGTTACCATTGCCTACAGGATGAGTCACAAATTACTGAAAATAGATTTTTATTTTTATTTTAATCATTGGAATACTCTTCCAAAATACACGGGTACTTAAACGCAATATTGTTAAAAATTTATTGATATTAAAATGTAATTTATTCTGATAACTCTAATCACAAACTTTTTCAAAACCCTTTTGTAACAGGATACCATATCGGATATTGTCAGAACAGTTGCAAATAGAAAGCAATCTGAATACTCAAGGGCTTTTGAAAAATCATTAATAAATAGAAGAAATAAAAGCGGTCCAAGATGGGAACCACAAGGTTCCCAAGGATTCCTCAATTATGCTTAATTTTTTCTTACATTTTTACATTAACACTGTCATTTTAATCTCCGTTTAACACAACGGTGGAATCGGACCTAACTCCTGTAACTTTAGTATTTTTTTTTTTGCTTATACTAGATTACTTTGTTTTAAGACTGAAAATTCAATGTCACTTTCGATTTGACCGCAAATAAGATGAACCTTGAAATTTTAAGTAGGTCATCCTGTATTTCATCTAATATTCTTATAAAAATACCTTATAAAAATAAAATTTAGCTAGCAACTATGATTCTTTACCTCTTATTTATCTACCAAAAAGGGCTAAAAACTACCTTTAGAAAACATTCTTATAAAACTACTTTTTAAATACAAAATTTCGTTAGCAATAATGCCTATTTACTATTTATTTAAATTAAATGTTCAAAATTTTACCCTTTTGTAAATGTATGTAAGTAATATGAAATCTGATTTCTGATGCTTTATATTTATTGAAACCCCTTAATGCGGATCTGAAGTATTCAGCCCAGAGAATCATGGCGCTTTATGTCAAAACGTTAATAAATATTTACCGCTGAAAACGAATATATTCATAACAATAGTACTTGTATTATAAGTACATACAATTTTTCAAGATACATCGTGACATTTTGAACTTGAAATTGAATAACTAGAACACTTTAAATTGCTAAAATACCAACAAATAAACCAAAAAACTGCTGTCAATGGTGATTAAACTCAGGTGGAGGTGTGATCGCTGAATGGAAATCGGAGCAATTCGGGTGGCGTCGTGCAACAATGATTTTCAATTGGTGGGTTACTTTGGCTTAAAATAGACAGCATGCGCAGTGTGCAATGTTACATCTTCGGTCTCTTTAATCTAAGCCTGCTACATACCGATCTTCTCTTAGATTAGTTACCTTAGGACGCCCAGTCCCACGTCTCCAGTCAACGCTGTTAGTTTCCTGGTACAAACACACTATTCGGATAACTAAAGTGCGGGGAATCCTTACTCTATCTGCGATTCGATGATTCGGCAGACCCACATCATGCAAAGCCACTATTCTTGCTCTATTGAACACTGAAATTTTATTGCCAGGCATAGTTGCAAAGAACCCTCTACTCCTTTTTTGATTACTTATGTAAAAAATTCAAATCAAGGGTCATTAGAAATTTTGATCCCATGCCATAATATCAATTACAGAAGACAGCATTCTCCACACATTCCTATTATTATTTCCTGATTCAAGTATATAATAGATTATTATTCTTCTCCAGTGACGATATCCTAATAAAATTATTAATTTTAATGACCAATAATTTGTTTCTGTTTGTATTCCTGACTCCCAGATCCAAATAACATATTTTCCACAATCCGTTATTTCTTCCATGTCATTTATTTGTCTTGGTTATGATTTTTTATTTCTTGTCTAGTGTCTCCTCTTAAATATTACATTCATATGTATATATTTATCGACTTTCATCAGGTACTCATTTTCTAATAGTGCATCTATATTATTTAATTGAGAAGCCTTAGAACTTTGATGCATAGATGTAGCTCCCCTGTATAGATTTTTAACTAATACAGAATATCCCGGTTTAAAGTCAAATAATTAGTAACAATAAGCGATTTTTTTAAATGAGAATTTTTGTAATATTAGTAATGTAAAATCTCTTCGTTAGTAATTAAAATATTAACACTTGCAACCGTCTATCAGACACCACATAAAATGAAACATATAAGAACAAGCAAACCCAACAGAAAATATTCCAGCATTTTTTATATACTCCGTAGGAATGCCCTTTCTCTTTTTTAGAATAGCGTTCGTTATAGTGGTTTTGGCATCATTATACGGAGGATATCGCAAAGACAAAGCTAACTCCGTGAACCCCCCAAAATCTTTAATCAACACGCTCTTCTTGTGTGAAAAAGTATCGAAACCCTGCCGACCGTGGTAGGAACCCATGCCACTAAATCCTACGCCACCGAATGGTAGATTTTCTGTTATAAGATGAGTGGCTGTATCATTAACAGCAGCTCCCCCAGAAGAAGTTTGTGTAAGTATAGAGTTTCTAACTTCTTTGTCTTTAGTGAAAATGTACAATGCAAGTGGTTTTTCTCTTTCGTTTATAAATTTTATGGCTTCTTGATAGTTCTTTACATTAACTATTGGCAGAATTGGTCCAAAAATTTCTTCTTGCATAACGCGATCATTTGGGTCCACGTTAATCAAAATAGTAGGTGTAATTATTCTTTCATCAACGTTAATTTTTCCTCCGATTGCAATGTTTTCTGGTTTTATAAATTCTATCAATCTTTTGAAGTGTCGCTCGGTAACTATTTTGCTTAGATAAGTTGAGTTTTTAGGATCAGAACCGTAGAATTCTGTAAGGATTTTCTTAGCATTTTGTAAAAATATTTTTTCAGTTTCTTTTGAACAAAGAAGGTAGTCAGGAGAAATGCAAGTTTGGCCACTATTTAGGAGCTTGCCCCAAAGGATTCTTCTTGTGGCTTTTTCCATGTCTGCAGTTTCGTCTAAGTACACAGGACTTTTTCCGCCTACAAATAGAAACATTTTAATTTTGTCATAAAAGAAATCAAAATAGAATTAATTGTAATATTTTTGTATGAACCAGGAACTGTTTTAAAGTTCAATGAGAACGCAACATCAAAGAATTATAAACCTTGCAAGTAAGAGAATCTCCATTTTAAAATAAAAAAATGTTTCTTACGACCCTGAGGCTAATATGTACCATAATCAAGTTAATGAAATAGTAAGAAGTAGATTTTTTTCACAAGTAGTAAGTTATGGAGTTTTTTGAATTTACATAATAAAATTAGTTTTATCCTATTCTCTTTACCTAATTCTAAAGTACACGGTGTCAAATTCTTGGCAGCAGCTTGATGAACAATTTTTCCAACTTGTGTAGATCCGGTGAAGAATATATAGTCAAATTTTTGTTCCAGCAAATTTGATGTTTCTTCAATTCCTCCTAAGTATACTTGAAAGCATTCTCGATCCAAATATTTTGTCAATACAGTGGCTATAAAATGGGCAGTATGAGGAGATAGTTCAGATGGTTTTAAAATTACTGTGTTGCCGGCAGCTATAGCACCTAAAAATTATGTATATTAATATATTTGGTACGTTATAGTTAACGTTGTATTACTAATAAGCTAATAAATATTATTAACACTAAGCAATTAACTAAACAATTATTTGTAAAAGAAATAATAGTATATTAAACTACACATAGCACACTTTCTTGATTAATCGAAAGGGTCTCATGTCCCCTCGCGATGATAAAAATATCACACCTCTAGCATAAATGATTTGACATAACGAAACTAACAACAATAAATAAAGTGAAGTAGGCTTGTGTCAAAATGTAATGAAATTCTAATAGTAAACAGAAATAAGTGTTTTGTGAAGTCTATATAAAAGAATTATTATATAAAAGTCTAAAAGGAATTGTAGTTTATCAGAGATACTAAAAATTATAATTGTATATAATATATAATTGTAATTGTGTTTCATAGCTTAAAAATGGAAAGAGATACTGATAATAGTAAATATACACCAGAAGTTATCAAAGCCGTTAATTCGTTACTTTAGTTTTTTTTTATTTACTTGGTATTTTACTTATATCTCCCTATTTTCTTTTGTAATTTCTTCAATTATTTTGAAGTATCTCTCATTCCTTTATTTATTACTGGAAATATACCAACTTGCAAGGTTAAGTTAAGTTGAATATGAATGGGCTGATCTCATCGCCTTCCACTGTGACCCAGATGGATCTATTGTGGCTCATAACTAACTTATAGTTCACCGTACAACCCACACCTTTAAATGAAGACCATGGTTAAATTGGGCGAGACTTGTTTAAAGTCGATAGGCTCCAGTCGGGTAAATCCGAAGAACTGGAATCTGGTTCTTTTGTAAGCCGAAGAGGTATATATAATGTGCTATGCAGATTCGTCTTCCACGCTGTATAATCGACAGTCCGATGTTTGTTGCAGACCTATCCTTCTCATGTAGTTGCCCAGATGGCAGTGTCCTGTCATCAGTCTCGTGAGAATGCCTAGATCTTTTCTACTCCATTCTCGGATCTGAGCAGAGGGGTTCTTAGAAGGTTTGGTTATAAAACGCCTTCGAATGAGTTAGCCCAGGGGTATTTCTCCAGTTTGTGAGTGATGCACCCTCCGTCCATTTTGAGATAATTCCTTTGGCAGTACTCTTTGCAATGCCAAGGAATGTTTCTGGTCCTATGAACTCAGATTCGACTTCTCTTTTAACAATTTTAGCAAGTTTGTCGGCTTTTTATTGCCCTCCAAACCGCTGTATCCCGGAACCCAGATCAAGATGCGACATACGCTCAGATATTTATCTTTTTACTATGTACAAACGCATTCTGTGAAAAGATATTCTATTACACTATGGACCATCACGATTCTATCACGATCGCGTTAGTTATTATAGTCTTCATAGTTACTTTTCAGTGAATTGTGACTATCTACAATGTATTAAATTTACAATTTTCATACGCAGATTTACGTCGCTTAACGTACATTGAAAACTTAACTCACGCAAACGAAGACATGGGCTCAGTATGCATCATTGCATTTCTAAACCGATATATACCGATGCTGTATAGAATGCTGTATGCTGTAGAATGCTGTATTCGAAGATTTGAGAATGAGCCTTGAACGGCGCCTGGTCCGAACTAGTATATCAAATCTCGACAGTTATTGTCGTCATGGTCTAGCGGTAAGGGAATTTGTGTACAGAACATAGATGTCTGGGTTCTAATCCTGCGGCAACAGACTTTTTTCAAATCTACAACTGCGTTTTCACCTTTGGGGTTCGGGGATGGTCTTAATAATTCGTAATCTTTTAGATTTTTTTGTGAATTTTTAAAATTTTTAAAATTTTACAACTTATATCAGATAATTATGACCTTTACGATTTTGATTTGCGATCTACAATATATTAAATTTACAATTTTCAAATATTGAATACTTTGCATTGATTTATACCTACACATATTTATGCCTACACATATCACAAAACCCTTGTACGCTACATAACACTTCATGAAAAACGTGTATGACCTCGACCTTATCTGCCCTGTAAGCTGTGACCGTCCGGTACGAAAAACAATACAAAAATACTCAACAAGTTAACACAAATAAAACATCAAATTAATCGTGCGCCATAGGTGATCATGGGTCTTATCACCCTTGTGTATAACCATATGGTCATTGTGGCGCTTAGACCCTAGTTATTCCCACATATTCTTCGTCAGCTTACGAGAGGTATTGTATGTGAGTTTTTTGAGATATTAATTCCACGTCAGCCTTTGATCCAATATGACTCCAAAGAATTTGGCTTCTGTAACAAATGGGATAGCTATGTTGTTTAGTACTAGTGATCTTAGTCCTGTAAGTACTTGTTTTTCTGTAAATGGCACAACTGTTGTTTTTTATGCGGTAATGGAAAATTTCTCCTCTTTGCACCAGTTATTCTCTATGTTTAGAGATGTTAGAGATGACTCCGAGACTTTGCCTGGCGATAATTGCTAGGTCCTCTGCGTATCCTAGGCACTGGTAGCCTTCTTTGGACAATGTTTTGAGTAGGTCGTCCACAGCATTGGAGATAATATTCCTCCTTGTGGGCAGCCCCTTTTAACTTTTGCCTGTATGGTTGCCTTTCGAGTGGATAAAATGATCCTGTTCTCTAGACTGGCAGTGATCCATTGGCATATTGTAACTGGAACGTTTGTCTGTTCTAGAAACTTCGTTATTGATCTGGTTGTAGAATTGTTGGAAGCTCCCTCGATAACTAAGAAAGTGGCTATTGCGATTTCTTTGTCATCTATTGACTTTGAAAACAGCCTGTTTAGATCACCCAGCACTAGATCAGTTGACGTTCCCGGCTGGTATGCATATTGGTTGGTATGGAGCAGATTTATTTTTATTATCTCGTCCTTGATATACCTGTCTATCAATATTTCAAGTTTTAAGTAGGAAGGAGCGATATGACTTTGGCGTTTGGTTTGTGACCCTATCTAATTTGGCAAGGTAGATTGCTTTCGCCATTTGTCATATTGCTGGATATCTCCAGGCAATGCATACTCTAAAGATTTTGCATAAATGTGGCATTAACACATCCTTACTCTTCTGGAGCAGAATTGGATATGACATACTAAGTAAAAGGAATAAAACTACCTGATAAATATTACCTATTTCAGCATTTTGGACAAAGATAACAATATAACATCAATTTATTTACATATTCGTCATTATCTACATGTCAAAAATAATTAATATTTGCAACACTACCGAGATTCCTCTTTTCGTGCGGGTCTAGGAGACCATGAAAGACAAGTCCGTTTGATTCCAGTTTGCAATAATTACAGCCCTCACTCCTTACCGTTACGGTATTATTGAGGAATTGTAGTTTATTTTGGTATCGGTGATGGGAAATAGGTAAGGATATGTTGTGTTTTAGTTCTAATTTTTGTCCCCTGAAAAAGCTAGAAAAAAACAGGGGTGTCTTTGTGTGTACGTTTGTATAGTCTATTGTTATTTACTCTATCCCACAGGCAGAGTGGTCTTTGCACCTTCCATCGAAGCAGCACTCGCGAATGTAAATTTCGCGTTTGATTCATCATTTCATTTCAAAAGTCTTTTATTATATACAATGTTTACATTTCATTTTTACTATCATGAGTATAATTAATAAACAATAGATTTCTTCCTGTCTGCTGTTTGGAAGTATTCCACTGATAAGGCCATGTAATGACCATGACCGATGTCTTGGCCGTGTTTATACCCTTGTACCAATTAATATTATGATTTGACTGTGTCCTCTCCTTGCTTAAGAAACATTATAAGACATTTTTGGTTCAATGACTAGAGTCGATAGTGGATTTGAGTGAGAGTTTTTGTCATGATTTTAATTCTGTCTGTCTTCCCTGAAAAACCGTTATAAAAAACAGGGTTGTCCTGGTATGTGAGTGTGTCTCGTCTTAGTTTACGTACGTGAAAAAGCCAAATCTCTAGACTTCACCGTGCCATCCCCATCCAATACAGGAATTCGCAGAGTCGCAAATTTCTGCATTGGATGAATGAATGAATAATTTTATTTACAGTATTTACATATGTACAATTTACATCTACATCTACATGTACGTCATTTCGAATTACTTCGCCCCTGTCCTCCAGCCTGGGCAGGAGAAATATGGGCGTCGTATCGACCCGCAATCATGAATATAGAATGTTTCTAATTTGTTGAGCATTAATATGTCATCTCCTTATTTCGCAAAATATTATATGACAGTTTTGGTTATTTAGTTAGCGTCGGTAATGGAACTTTTTGTAATAGTTTTGTCTGTTGTTAGTTATGTATTTGTTTCCCTGAAAAAGGCTAAGAAAAAACAGGGTTGTCTTTATATGTCCGTTTGTCCGTATAGTTTATGGCTAATTTGTCCTAATTCGTGGATTACACGGTGCTACCGTCCATATAAGGCAGCGAAAAATATCGCCAATTAGATTTTCGATTCACCGTGCAGTCCACCGTCCGACTAGATTTTGCGGCTAGTCGGCTTGTATTAGAACAATTAGTATTGTTGTCACAGGGCAAAGTCTGTATGTGTTTGTATGTGTATTACGTCTCAAACTTGTCTGTAAATTGTCAGTGCTTTGTGGAGACATCCATGCTTTCTATGTGCGCTGTTTGCCTTAATATTAAGTATGTCTTCCTTTATGTTTGGAGGAAGACTATTTTTGTAAAATCTCTCTGAGATATTTAATATGTGTGCTTTAATAGTTGGCATGGATGTCTCTCTGTGCATGTCCGTTATCCTGGAATAACGGAGCCACCCCAAGGACCGCCTCAGACAACTGTTCTGTACTACCTGGAGCTTATTGAAGTGACTTTCTGTCATGGAACAGAAGGCTTGGCATCCATAAGTCAATATTGGCCTAATTACTTGGCGGTATAATAATATTTTGTTGTCACGACTTAACTGATTATTGCGTCGGAATAAAGGGTATAGCGTTCTTATAGCAGTTTTGGCTTTTGCCACCCTGTCATCGATATGTTTACTGAACG